CTCTTAGTTTCATTTGGATTACTGTTGGGATACATTTTGTCCAGATCTTCAGAGTCCTTCAGGGGATATGGATGATCTGGTTATAGTTGCCAACATTCTGGTTCCCTGGGTCCAAATACTTACCATGTGTTTATCCCTGTATCAGTCCATCACTGATTTTCTAAAGATCAGTAATGCCACATGGGTGTACTTCTCCTGTCTCAACACTCCCCCCCACACACACACACACACACACACACACACACCCACACACACAATACATGTGTGCCACAGGGCCATCTCAGTTGTTTGGGTGATCATAGAAATAAATATATGTGTGATTTGATTGTTGCTAGTGGTTCACTATGTGCATGCTTTCTACTAGGGCATCAAGCTCCCAAGTAAACAACAGCTGCTAGTGGTTCACTATGTGCATGCTTTCTACTAGGGCATCAAGCTCCCAGGTAAACAACAGCCCTGATGAGCTGCTTGCTAGTAGTCAAGAAAGTAGTTTTCTTGTATGTTTCCAGATCTCCTTCAATAATAATAATAATTAAAAAATGTAACACAGTGAGGATGGGGTGGGACACTGCCTTAGCCAATTAAGTATTTGGATTATAGGCATGAACCATTAAAACCCAAGGACTAGTTATATATACTATATTGAACTTATTTGTCTGGTAGTTTCAAAGACATCTTTAGTTACATAATTTTATGATGAAAATATTCTTTCTAATTTCATTTTTATCCTTGTATCTAAACACTTTCATCAACTATACTTCTACATTGGAAAATTCTGTTATATATATGTAAAATATGCATATAATTCTCTGCATTACACTTGTAGACTTCATGTTTTGTTTAAAGATTGGCTAAATATTAATGAAAAGTTTAAGTTTGTGTACTAGGATTACTTTTACTTATTTCTTGGTACAGTGATTTAAAAGCTGAGTCACTTAAAAAAGGGGGAGTAAAGATTAATAATACCAGGAAAATTCTATCATGTTCCTTTTGCTAATTAATGTCTTGGTCATGAGCCTTTTCTGCATAGCTTTTTGTTTTGTTATAGAATTTAAGTTATTAATTGTAGCTCCCTAACAATATAAATTAATAAAAATATATACAGAGGCATAAACTATTCAAAAAATAAAAAAGGCCACTATACTTGTAAAGAACTCAGTGAGAAAACACAAGACTTAAAATCTTCCACAATGTTAGGAAACAGGAAACTGGAACAATATCTCTTAGCTGTTCACTAACTAAGATATTGAATTATGTTCATGTTAGGTATGCAAGTAATAAAATAAGTATTCCATATGTCTTAGTCAATCTTCTATTGCCATGAAGAGACACTATGGTCATAGCAACTCTTACAAAGGAAAACATTATTTGGGGTTGGCTTATAGAGGCTTAATACATGATTATCTGGGTGGGAGGCATGTTGGCACACAGGAAGATGTGTGTTAGGTTTTCCATTGCTAAGACACCATATCATAAAGAAAAATGCATTCAGTCCAACTTGAAAAAACCTCATGCAGTCTATAACAGTCTCCACACTGTTTAAAAGTCTAAAGTTCAAAGTCTCTTTGGAGACTCATAGCAATTTCTTAACCCTAATCCTCTATAAATTAAAACAAAACCATTATTACATATTTTCAACATACATAGGCACAAGGTAGGCAGTAATATTTCAGAAGGGAAGAAAGAGAACATAGTGAAGAAACACTGGACAAAAGCAAGACCAAAAACCAGCTAGGCAAACTCCAAACCTTTCATCTCCTTGTCTGATGTCAAATCGCTCTTCAGCTCTCTAATTCTTCTAAGCTTTGTTGACTGCTATGTACTTCTTTCACTTGGTCTGTCTGGTTCTAAACCCTGTTAGCAGCTCTCCTCAGCAGGTTTCCCACAGCTCTGGAATCTTTAAAATTTTGGGGTCTTCAACAAAATTCAAACTTCATTTTCATAACTTCACATAATAGCCTCTTTGTGTCTCCACACAAGGTCATCCCTGAAACATTCCTGGCCTCAGCAACTTTCCTTAGCCATGGAGGCAGATTCCACATTCCCTTTCTTAAATCCTTTACTCTATAGCCAGAACCAAGTGGCTAAAGTTGTCAAGTTCTTTCTAGGGCTGGAACATGACCCCCTCCTTAGAATACATTTTTACCAGCTTTCTGCTGTTCGTGGTTTCCTTTACTCACTAAGCTTGGCTAACTTGGGGCTTTCTCTTTAGATCAGGATTGCCTGAAACTCAGAGATCTGCTTGCCTCTGCCTCACCAGTGTGGGGATTATAGGTGTGTCACACCACACCTGGCCCTAAGATTTTCTTTAATCTATTTTCACAATTGGAAGTTTAGGTGGGTGGGGTCTTGCCTTGAAGTTACCTCTCCCTTTACTTGAATTGGGATCATGCTTTCCTTTAAACTTTGTAATCTCCCTGAGTACTGGCTTTAGCAACACTATATGTCCTTGTGCTCCTTTCCCCCTCAAACTGTACATTTTTTTATTTCAATAAAATAACAATAAGACATGCTCAATACTGGGCTGTTTTTAAATCTCCACTGCCAGTAAGAGTAATCCAAAACTTTTCAATTTAGACTCAGGCAGACTATTTGGATGAGGACAAAAAGCAGTCACATTTTCAATCTTGTAGACCAGGCTGGTCTCAAACTAACAGAGATCTGCCTGCCTCTGCCTCCCAAGTGCTGGGATTAAAGTTGTGTGCTACTACCACCCATCACAAAAACAATCCTTAGGCTACTTACAAATATTCTCCTATGAAACCTTTTGAGTCAGGCCACCTTGATCTATATTACTCTCAGCACCACTGTATTCCCTGCTTCTACTAATTGCCCATAAAGCCCCACTTAAAGTGTACAGCTGCCTTCTTAATCCAAAATCCACACCCAGCCTATAAGAAGCATGTCATGCATGTCACAATACTCCAGGCTATGGTACTAACTCTGTCTTAATGTTTTATTACTGTGAAGAGATACCATGACCATGGCAATTCTTATTAAGGAAAACGTTTAGTTGGATTGGGTTTATAGGTTCAGAAGTTTAATCCATTATCATCATTGTGGGAGGCATGGAAGCACAACATGCAGACATGGTGCTACAGAGGTAGCTGAGAGTTCTACATCTGGATCAGCCAGCGACAGGAAGACAGAGCATGGGACCTGACTTGAGCGTTTGAGACCCCTAAAGCCCATCCCTAATGACACACAAGTCCACATATATTCCACCAAGGTCACACCTCATAATAATGCCATTTCCTGATGACCAAAGTTCAAATCTATGAGCCTATTGGAGCCATTCTTATTCTAAGCATGACAACATATTAATTAGAATCATTCTTCTATTTTTACATATATATATTGTAGCTTGTAAGAACATTCATTTAGTTTTCCTTTTGAGGCAGGATATCATATATCCCAAGCTGTCTTTGTAACTGAGAATTCCATTTTCCCACTGTCTCAATTCTGTGATCATGATAAACAACCTTTCTAACAAGTGAGATAAAACAAAAGCATGGATATTCATTTTTTTGCAGATTTTTAAATTTTAATTAGAAACAGTATTGTTTTTCATGACAATCCCAGTTCCCTTCTCCCTCCCGTCCTCCCCTACAGCCCCTCCAACTAAAACCCTACCTATCACATATCATTTCTGCTAGCCCTGGATGGTGAGGCCTTCAATAGGGGACACCAGAGTCTATCATATCCTTTGGGATAGGGCTTAGGCCCACCCCCCGTGTGTTCAAGGCAAGTGATGAAACACATGACAATTTTATGAAAAATCATTTTGATAGATGTGGGGATTGTGCAATGGGATTTGCAGTAGAGACCACCGGTTGGTCTGAGTTCTAAACACCACTGGAAATGTGGGGGTTCACAGCAAAGGTGTAGGTTGAAAAAAAACTGGTGAATAAAAAACAAGAAAACATAAAAAAATTGGGGACATACAACATAGATATTGAATCAATAACTTTTGGTGTCACAGAAACAGAGCAAGTAGAGACAACAATCCAAAAGATGAGCTGTAGCTGGAAAAGGACCTGAGGAATCTGACTGAAGGCAGATAGATCAAGGAGACGGTTACAAATATTCACTGCCTCCTCTATTAAATTTCAATTATGTTTGTAATCTTTTTACTTGCAGAGTCATTTTTATCTGGAATAATATTCAATAATTCCACTTATTGAAACAAATCATCCTGCTTCATAAATATGAAGAGGTAGTGTTTGCACATTACATTATATTTTTGATAATTCCTCACTAGTTTTTAGAGAAATCATATATTAGAAAATATATAAATATATGGTGTGTGGAATATGATGTTTTGACATTTTTTAATCTTTCCTTAGTGCACACAGAAATATATATATATATATATATATATATATATATATATTCTTTTTATTTTACCTTACAAGTGCTTTTCATATTTATTTGGCTTCTAGTTTAGTGTTCTTATGTCCTGAGTTTGCACCTGAATGGGTCTCTGTGTCTTCAGGCTTCTCCTGTGCATTT